ACCCAATCCCCCTCCAGGTGGTTCTGAGATCCCCAGCATCCAGAGCATCCCCCACTGTCCTCAAGACCTGACCTCCTGCTGGTCCTGAGATCCCCCCCCTCCAGCACCCAAAACAACCCCCTTTGTCCCCAAGATTCCCTTCCAGGTGGTTCTGAGATCCCCCCAGCACCCAAAACATCTCCCAGTGTCCACAAAACTCCTTGGAGAGCCACCTGGTGGTTCTGAGATCCCCCCCCCATCACCCAAAACAACCCCTAGTGTCCCCAAAACTTCTCTGAGACCCATCTGGTGGTCCTGAGATCCCCACACAGCACACAAAGCAACACCCCGTGTCCCCAAAACTCCTCGGAGATCCATCTGGTGGTCCTGAGACCCCCACCCCAGCATCCAGAGCATCCCCCACTGTCCTCAAGATCCAACCTGGTGGTCCTATGATCCCCCCCAGCACACAAATCCACCCCCTTTGTCCCCCCAATCCCCCTCCAGGTCGTTCTGAGATCCCCAGCATCCAGAGCATCCCCCACTGTCCTCAAGACCCGACCTCCTGCTGGTCCTGTGATCAACCCCCCCAGCACCCAAAACAACCCCCATTATCCCCAAGATTCCCTTCCAGGTGGTCCTAAGATCCCCCCAGCACCCAAAACATCTCCCAGTGTCCCCAAAACTTCTCTGAGATCCATCTGGTGGTCCTGAGATCCAACCCCAGCACACAAAACAACCCCCTTTGTCCCCAGGATTCCCTTCCAGGTGGTTCTGAGATCCTCCCGGCACCCAAAACATCTCCCAGTGTCCACAGAACTCCTTTGAGATCCATCTGGTGGTCCTGAGATCCCCCTCAGCACCCAAAACAACCCCCAGTGTCCCCAAAACTCTTTTGAGATCCCTCTGGTGGTCCTGAGATCCAACCCCAGCACACAAAACAACCCCCTTTGTCCCCAAGATTCCCTCCCAGGTGGTCCTAAGATCCTCCCAGCACCCAAAACATCCCCCAGTGTCCCTTACTCCCCACCCCAGCACCCCATTTACCTCCCCCAGCCTCTCTGAGCTCCATTTGTGTCCCCCCCAAACCCCACTTACCCCAGCCCCATGGGGACAGATATTCCCCCAGCTCAGGTGACAGGCAGTGATCACATATGGGGTGTTAACCCCTAAAAAGTTTGGAAAAAACCCCTAAAAAATGTGGAAAAGGCTTCCAGGAGCAAAGGGCTCCTGGGGGATGGAGCAAGTGAAGCCACCACCCCCTCCCCTTAATGAACAGCTCAACAGGAGCAAGAGGTCTCAGCCCACCCAGCTCTTAGTCCTTAATTGCAATTAAATGCCTTTTCAGAGTCAGCTCTTGGTCATGGCTGTGAGGGGTGTTTTTTGGTATCTCAGCCCTCTTGAAGTTCTTGGCCTCAACAACTTCCTGCAGCAATGAATTCTGCAGTGGAATCAAACCCTGGGAGAAAAAAAAATAATAAAAAGTACTTCTCCTCATCAACTTTGAGTTCCCTGCCCTGTCCATCCCAGCATAGGGAGCTGGAACTGTCTCCTGCATCCTGGTTTTGACTGCCTTTCCAGGGGGAATGGGGTGAAATTCTGGGCAAGAGCTGGTGGCTGGGGCACCAAAAGCTTTGGCTGATGAGCAGGTTGCCCAGGGAAGCTGTGGCTGCCCCATCCCTGGCAGTGTTGAAGGGCAGGTTGGATGGGGCTTGGAGCAACCTGGGCTGGTGGGAGGTGTCCCTGCCCATGCAGGGGGGTTGGATCTAGATGATCTTTAAGGTCTTTTCCCACCCAAACCATCCCATGATCCTATTATTTGTTCCCACTTGGTCTGGGTTCTGCTTTCCAAGCAAGACCACGATCAACACCTGGGCTGGTGTTTGAGTTTGGGCTGGTCCCTGAGATCTTCTCATCTTGACTCTTCCAGTTCTCATGAAGTGCCTTGAGGAATTACAAATGGCTCAGAGGGAAGTGACCCGACTGAGAAGAACACAGACCTTTACAAAAATAAATAACAACACTGTGGTCCAAACAAATATGTGTTGCTATTAATATCTCAAGCCTTGATCCTCCTCCAACCACTCGTATGGGTGTTGAGCAGGTTGCAAATGAGCAGGTGCCTTTGATCCTGCAGTGGGAACGTTTTGCTGGGATGGGGAATAAATTCAAGGTGGGAGATGCTTTCAAGCACGACGAGCTGGTTGTGTTTCCCAACAGGCTTGATTGCCTTCCTGGCTTTTCTCTCAGCCTGGCAATGAAAAACTGTTTCCCACGTTTGGAGGGGAGGTTTGGAGCTGGGTTGGTGCAACAGCTTTGGGGACAAACTCAGTCCTGTTTTCTCTGCACGATTTCTGGTGGAGCAAGACCCACGTTTCCTCCTGCCTGCTGCCCTGGGAAGCCTTTTCTTTTGCAGATCTCTCTCTTCTGGGTCCTGCTCGAGCTTTCTGATCCTCCTTTGCAGCACAAATACTGCACAGTTGGAAGGTATTTGCTGCATTTGCTGCCATCTAATGGGAGAATCCAGCCTCAGCTCTCTTCTGCAACCCAGTGAAAACGTTTTCCTGCTGCCACCCAGCAAAGCAGCTTCTTCCAGATGTAATCCCAGCAAATTTAGGTGAGGGCAAAGCTGATCTGCTTTGGCATATGTGCAGCTGGGCAGCTCTGCATGGGGGGGTCACACAGCCAGGAACTGCTGCAGCCCCAATCCAAAGAACATTGTGGTTAATCAGGCTGAAATGGTGCTTTATATGGATTTATATGATTTTAAGATAAAACAGGAGAGAAGAAATAGTGAGGATGAGCCCAAACAGATACATCTTGTTGTTAGATCCCCTAAACACAGGCACAGCTCTAAACTCAGACACATAAACTCTTCCCAAGGAGCTACAGTCTCCAGTTTGATCCCACTGCCCCACCAGTGAAACTATTTGATAAGCAGATGTGGTGAAGAGGGATCAGCATGGAAGGGGAATATAAAAACAGTGCATTAAGAAAGTATTTTAAGGGTAGACTGAAGGGAGGGTGGCTTGTGGCAGGGGGAGACATGCAGGGAGTTGTAGTAGGAGAGAGGTGCTGGAGCACTGAGGGTGGGGTGGGCAGAGGAGATAATTCATGCCAAAAAAAAGACTTGGAAATCCCTGTGTCGTTTGCAATCTCCAGCTGCAAATCAACATCATTGCCCCCTGTCCCATTTCAGGGAGTAGATCTGGGAGCAGCAGAAGTGAGAAAGCTCTTGGCCTGGCTCTGGGCCTTTGCAGGGCTCTCCAGGGGAGGTTTGTCATTGCCTGATAAAAATGAAACTGCATTTTTTTTTTTCCACCAATGGAGATGTTAATCAGCCTCAGTTAATCAGGCCTTTCTTCATAAAGAAGTCACAATGTAGCTTTGCAATCATTCTCAGGGACTGCAGAACCTTTGGACACCAAAAAGATGGATTTTTCCAAACAGGGAAAGAAGAACAGATACACAGACATGGGCACCAGGAGCTCTTAAACCTTGTTTCTTGGGAAAGCTGAGCTACAACAGTCAGAATCATTCAGAACTAGATCCTTTTTAAAAATACATAGTGTTTATTAGAAAGCCAACCCTTCCTGTCACTGTATTTTTGTAAAGCAGAGAGTGGCTGCTATTATGCTTTGCCATAATACACATATAAATAATAATGGCAACAAAAAGTAAACCTGTCTGAGCAGAATGATTCCCAAAAACCTGCATGGAAGCACAGTCTTTAAATACATCTGTTGAGCTGCTGGGGGATGAGGCAAGGAGTGTAATATATTAAAATACTACAAAACAAGACTTGTATTCTTATTTATTTAGCCTGTAGGTTTTTCTCTGCAAAAATATAGTTCTCAAGCTTTAAAAAGGAAAAAATAAAAACACCCAACCTTTGAAGTTGTGACATGTGCTTGGTTGGATGTTTCAGGCTGGGTTTTAGAACCAACCCAGAGCTCCCTAAGGAAGCTGTGGAGGTTGCAGGAACCTGCTCATCCCTGCTCCATCCCAAGATGTGCTGCAATAGTGCAAAAAAAAAAATCAGCAGTGGATTGAAAAGGGCTCTTCCTCTGATGTTATCTCCCACCTCCCAGGTGCTCTTTCTATGATCCTCAGCTTTGGAATTTCTTTTGGACTGGGTTGAGTAGCTTTCTGTGGAGAACCCTTGCTGCCCAAGAACCCAGGGAAGAGAATAACCTTTATCTTGCCTAAGTTGAGAGAGTTAAGAAGAACATTTAGGATATGCTGCAGATTTCTTTCTTCCAGATCAGACTGTAAAGCCAGAGCAAAAAGTCACCACTGCACAGCAGCCCTGATGGCCCTAAACCCCCTTGGTTTTACATCAGGCTTTGGGCAATCCCTGGATTTCATTTCTTTTATCCCAATACACTCAGTTTTGCTCCCTGCTCCACCCAGGATCCAATCAGATTCCTTTTCTGCCTCTTTCCTGAGCCTGCTTTTTGCCTCCAGAAGAAAGTGAAGTTTCCCACCAGGTATTTTTGGAGGGCTCATGTGCCAGGGGGTCAGGGCAGGAGAAGGGCAGGAAGGGGCTGAGTGACATCCAGCTCCTCCCCAGCAGCTTTTGCCCTCAGGATCTGAGGAAGATCACCAAGGCAGAGGCACAGGGAGCAGAGGTGGTGCCCAAGGGTTATTTGGATGCTTTTCTGGCTGTCACTGCAGTTTCAGCTCACAAAGGAGGATCAGGTTCATCACCAGCAGCAGCCCTTTTTCTTCTGGGGTGGCTTTGGTACCTCTTCTGCCTTATTTTTCAATTCATCCTCACGAACTTTGAGCAACCTGGGAGACAAGGAAGCAAATGAAACCAGTGTTTCCCCCCCCATATCTTTTATTGCTTTGCTAATTGTCCTGACAAGCCTTGGGGAAGGAGGTTCAGCTGAAAGGAGTGAGGAGCCTCCCCAAGCTCAGCGTGATTTGAGAACCATGGGCTGCTAAAAAAACATCAACCTAAATCAAATCACAGCCAGAATTTATTTCTATCAACCCGGGCAAGAATCCACAGCATCCTGAGAGGGGGTTTATTCATCTCCTTGCAATCTTAAATATTCAGGAGACATCTTACAGCACTTGGGCTCATCCCAGCCATGCACGTGCTGCTCTGGGTTTTCCCTGGCGTTTGGGCACATGGAGTCTCTGGTGACAGCACTGGGAGTTCAAAAAGCAGGGAGGGAGCCCAAGAAATTCAGGATGGCTGGGGAAACCAAACACATTGCTCACCTGACTAAGCTGACCATGGCCTCAGAGATGTTGTGGCCCGAGGCAGCGCTGCACTCCAAGAACATGAGCTGATGCTCCTGGAAGAGCCAGAGCATGATACAAACGTCACATTCTTGCACTGGGACAGCTTAACATGGGAGTAAAGAGACAAGGGACATTCAGGGCCAAGGGAAAACAGGAGGGATGCAAGGAAACAGGAACTTAGGGACTTGTTTACTGGGATATGAGGGTGAAATCCAGCTTTTCTGGAAGCTACAACACGATGGAGTCTGGTTAGTGGAGCAAAGAAAGACATAACTGATGTTGCCAGGTATTTCATGCCTGCCAGGGACTGGTTTGTGGGACAAAACAAAAAGCATATAACCCCTTCCCTTGCTATTTCTATTTATAAAATTGGCCTAAATGCCTACACTTTGAAATTAGGTTAGTAAAGGTGAGATTCTTCCCACCTGATTTTTATTGGCATCTACATTTGAAGACATTAACTGCACTTTAAGGATTTCAGTATCTCTGAAACAGGGCAGGGCTTGGTGCTTTGATTGCTTATATGATTCTGGGAACATGCACAGGAAAGATAAGCAGAGCTGAAATGGTTTTCATTTACAGATCCAGTTTCATCAATTGTTTTACTGGGGCAGGAGGCTGAGTTAAAACCTGAAGGGCAAAGGGAAACTGAGGCAGGGGGTGGGCTCAGAGGTCACTTTGCCACTTCCTGGTGCAGAAAAGGTGAGTTAAGGGCTTTCAGCTGGTGGTTCTCAGGCTGGTGGCTGTCCTTGCCCTGGGTAGGCAGGACAATTGAGCAGGGCCATGTACCCACCTTGGCCAAGAGTTCCCCCTCCGAGGTCGGGACCCGCCTCTCGGCAGCGCGGTCGGTTTTGTTCCCCAGCAGCAGGACAGCAACTCCATCTCCTGCTGCCTCCTGGGCAGGGAACGAGGGGAACATCAGGGAGAACATGCCTGGGTCTCCCTTGAATGACAGCTGCCCAGCCATCTCCTGGAGCAGCAGGAAGGATGCCCACGGGTTTGGGCTGAGGAACAAAGCCTTCGACTCTTAAACCAGCTTAAAATAACTGAAAATAGGTGTTGGAATTGTTTGGTTTGGGGTTTTTTCCCCCCTTAAATCACCCATCCTGGTCTATTAACAGGGCAGACAACTGGCCAAATTACCCTTCTAGTGGAATTCACTTTGTGTTTGACTTCAGAAGCTTCACAGCAGATGCCCTGGTTGGGATTTACAGGAACATCCGATTTTCTTCCAGTGTTTTTAAATCCTGACATTCTACTCAGCTGGAAATCCCTGACAAGAACTTCTTAATAGGATGTGAGTTCCCTTCCATTTCCCAGGACTCAAAGGGAACTATTTGTGATTTAAACGTGTTCCCAAAAGTACTTTTAAGGTCTTCCATTCATCTGTATTTGTTTTTAATTAACAAACCCCCCTGTAACTGATAATTATAAGGATGCTACCAACAAATCAGCTCAGGGAACACTGCAAAAAAAGTGAAAATGATCAGTATCTGAATTTAAATCCTCCAAGAAAAATTATTTCCTCACCTAAAGGAAGAATCATAGAATGGTTTGGGGGGGAGGGAGGGGGAAGGGACCATAAAGATCGTTTATATCCACCCCCCCTGCATGGGCAGGGACACTTGCAACTAGACCAGGCTGCTCCAAGCCCCATCCAACCTGCCCTTCAACACTGCCAGGGATGGGGCAGCCACAGCTTCCCTGGGCAACCTGGGCCAGGCTCTCACCACCCTCACACCAAAGAATTCCCTCCTCATGTCCAACCTCAGTCTCTCCTCCTCCAGAGTGCCCACCACAAAGCGCTTGCCCACCCCTCGATGTCCATCCCTGACGGGTGGCAGAGCTCAGGTGAGGAAATGCTGATTTTAGAGCCAGTTCTTAGACCTCAGGGGACAGAAGGACATCCTGCTTCACCCACCTGGATGCAGCTCAGCCAGTACCTCACATCTGAGAAGGAATACTCCGAGGTGATGTCGTACATCAGCACCACCCCGTCCGCCTTCCGGAAGAACTGCTTGGTGACGCTGCGGTACCTGCAGGGAGTTGGGGGGGTCACCTTCAACAGGATGGACAACAACCAGGATCCCAGGGCTGGGGAAGGCTCTGGGAAACAAACCTGATGAGGAGCAGCTGAGGGAAGCTGGAGAAAAGGAGGCTGAGGGGAGACCTGAGTTGTTACATCTCCCCGAATGGAGGTTGAGGGGGGGGATTTGGTTTCTTCTCCCAAGGAACAAGCAATAGAACAAGAGGAAATGGGCTCAAGTTGCAGCAGGGAAGGTTTAAATTGGATATGGGAAGAAATTTCTTCACTGGAAGGGTGATTAAACACTGGCCCAGGCTGGTCAGGGGGGTGGTTGAACCCTCATCCCTGGAGGTGTTTCAAAGCTGTGTGGATGTGGTGCTGAGGGACATGGGTTAGCTCTGGACTGGGTAGAGTTGGGTTAAGGGTTGGACTGGATGATCTGAAAGGTCTTTCCCAACCTGAACGATTCTATGACCTGAGGAGGTTTTGCCTAGAAGGGATGTGAAATCCCCATGGGAATGCACGTCTGTAGAAAAGACAATCCCCAGGTTTTGCTCCTCCCCTGGTGGCCCAAGCCAGAGAAACAGCCCCAGTGCTTAATTTTATCTTAATGACTTCCTTTATTACCCTTTATCAGAGCATGCACTGTTCAGAGTCCCTCCTTAAACAGCCCCTCCTTTGCTTAGCAGAGCCAAGAACATTCATTTCCACTAAAGCAGCAGGAAAAGGGGAAAGCAGGGGCTGTTCTCCAGGAGGGAGCCCCACACCTCACCTTTCTTGCCCAGCTGAGTCCCACAGGCGCAGAGCAAAGCACTTGTTGTCCACCACGAGGGTCTTGACCTGATAATCCATCCCTAGGAGACACAACAAAGAGTAATTGGGTGCTGTTGGGTTCGGCCCCGTGACAGGATGGATGGGGATGGTGCAGGTGTGGTCTGAAGATGCAGATCAAAGGGGCTGGTGTTGAGTGAACCTTTGAGATCTTTAACGGCCGGATTTTTGGGAAGGTCCCTGGATTCATGATGGATAAAACCAGGTTGGTTAAGAGAGGAGGATAGGACTGAAAGGCAAAATAAAGAGTAAAACACCAGGGCCACTGGAATAGGTGTGGTGGAAAGGGTGAGGAGGACCAGCAGTGCCTGCTCAGGACCATCCATGTGTGAAGCTGGTGGTCCTCCATTTGGTCCTTGGTGACGGGTTGTGCAGCTCGGTGGGAGCTGTAAGATGTGGGTAAAGACCAGCAGCAGCTGGTGGGGGGGAAGGAAGGAGCTGCAATGGTCACCCCGGGGGGTGCAGAGCTGTGCTGGAGAGGAGCTGGAGGAGACCTACCCACGGTGGCAGCGAGGTGAGGGCTGAAGGTGTTGAGGCACAGCCGGTGCAGGAAGGACGTTTTCCCCACGTCCGAGTCCCCAACAAACAGCACGTTGTAGAGGTGGTCTGGGTCCAGGCAGGCTTCAGGAGAACCTCTTGGGGCAGCTCCTGCCCCAACCACAGTCCCTGGCTCTTCTGGGCTGGGTTTGCCTTCCTGGCTCGTTTTCTGCCCAGCCTCTTGCTTCTTCTCCCGTTGGCCAACACTGGGGGCTTCACCCAGGAGCTGCCCTTGGGGCTGCACGTTGCTGTTGGCTGCATCCCCCAGGGAGCTGCCTCCAAGGACTGTCCCCAGCTGATTATTCCCAGCATCTTTCTCCTGCTGGACACTCACATGAAGGGCTGAAACAAGTGGCATCTCTTGTTTTGGAGGCTCAGCAGATCCAACAGCTACCTGCTCTGTTTCCATCACACGTGGTGGCTTCTCCTCCAGCTGCTGGGAAGCAGCACGAAGCCTCCCCTCATCTGCCTGTGCTGAGACCTGCCCCTGGAGATCACTTTGGGCTGCCTGTGCAGAAGAGCCTAGGCACACATCTGGAATGAGAACATCCTCCTGCATCATCGTTTCCAGCTCTAACGTGTTGATTTGTAATGTTACCCTGGAGGCTGGAGGGGCCATCACAGATGCACCATCATCGTGGTCCTGCTTTTTCCCTAGACTCTGAGTTTCAACTAAATTCCTCACCCCTGCCTCCAGCCTTTCTCCCTGCACCACTTCCAGACCTTGAGCCCCATCCAAAGGTCCTTTCTCTGCATCCATCCTCTCTCCCTGTATTATTTCCAGGGTCTGGGTATTCTCCAGGATCTGCCCATCTGGACCAGTGAGAGCTCCCAGCAGTGCTCCCAGACCAGGACCCTTAGTGGCCATGGCAAGCTCAGGGTGCCAAGAGACCTGAGCAAGAGGGGACACATGAGCCCCAGCTGCCTCATCCCACGTGTCTGTGGTGGGAGCTGCACACAGACCTGCCTCCAAACTCTGCCTCTGCTCCCCTTCCCACAGCCCAGCTGCACCCAGGGCTGCCAGATCTGCCTCTGGGTTCCCTCCTGGGGCCAATTTCAGCTCCTCCACCTCTGTCATCATCTGCACACTTCCACCAGAGCTCAGGTCCTCCAGCGTGTCCAGGACCACGGCCTCCTTCCATGGCTGCAAACCTGCTCCCACCTCTCCTCCCTGGGGGGCTTCTGGGCTGAGACCCCCACTGAGACCCCCACTGAGACCCACATCTGCCTGAGCACCCTCTGTCTCCAATTCCACCAGCTCGGGTTTATCCACCCAATCCAGAGGTTGCACATCTGGAGCCACACTCCCTCCCTGCTCTGCATCCAGGGAGCTGACCTCACTGGGGGGCTGCAGATCTGCCTCCATGTCCTCTCCATTGAGCTCCTCCACCTCTGCCCTCAGCTGCACATTCCCACCAGGTTCCTGCTCCCCCAGCACAGCCAGGATCACGGTCTCCTCCTCAAGCTCCACACCAGCTCCAGCCCCCTCTCCCTGCAGAACCAGCAGGGTCTCCTGTGGCACCTCCTGCTCCCCCTGTCCTTGTGCCCCATCCTCAGCCTCCTCCAGGAGCTCAACAGCTTCATGGTTCTCCTCTCCCTGAGGGGTTTCTGGGCTGACACCCCCAAGCAGCTCCATGTCTTTCTGCTCATCCTCTAGCTCCAAATCCACTAACTCCTGGTCATGAACGTGATCCAGGGGTTGCACATCTGGAGCCACACTCCCCCCCTGCTCTGCATCCAGGAAGCTGACCTCACTGGGGGGCTGCAGATGCTCCATGTCCTCTCCTTTGAGCTCCTCCACCTCTGCCCTCAGCTGCACGTTCCCACCAGGGCCCTGCTCCCCCAGCATGTCCAGGATCACAGGCCCCTCCTCAAGCTCCACACCAGCTCCAGCTCCTGCTCCCTGCAGATCGAGCAGGGTCTCCTGTGGCAGCTCCTGCTCCCCCTGTCCTTGTGCCCCATCCTCAGCCTCCCGCAGGAGCTGAGTGGCTGCTCCATCCTCCCCTTGCTGAGGGGTTTCTGGGCTGACACTCCCCAGGAGCTCCATCCCTGCCCAGGAGTCCTCTGCCTGCACCAGTTCCAGTCCCTGAGCCTCAACTGGGAACATCCCACACAGCTCTGGGCTCCCCACAGGGGTTTCTGCTGGGGATGGACCCTCCCTGTACACCAGCCCAGCAGCACCTGCTCCCTGCTCCAACCCTGGTTTATCCTCCTCCTCTTCCTCCTCCAGTGGTTGCACATCTGGAGCCTCACTCCCTCCCTGCTCCATCCCCAGGGAACCAGCCTCACTGGGGGGCTGAAAATCTGCCTCTGTTCTCCCTCCATTGAGCTCCTCCACCTCTGCCCTCAGCTGCACATTCCCACCAGGGCCCTGCTCCCCCAGCATGTCCAGGATCACAGGCCCCTCCTCAAGCTCCACACCAGCTCCAGCCCCCTCTCCCTGCAGAACCAGCAGGGTCTCCTGTGGCACCTCCTGCTCCCCCTGTCCTTGTGCCCCATCCTCAGCCTCCTCCAGGAGCTCAACAGCTTCATGGTTCTCCTCTCCCTGGGGGGTTTCTGGGCTGACACCCCCAAGCAGCTCCATGTCTTTCTGCTCATCCTCTAGCTCCAAATCCACTAACTCCTGGTTATGAACGTGATCCAGGGGTTGCACATCTGGAGCCACACTCCCCCCCTGCTCTGCATCCAGGGAGCTGACCTCACTGAGGGGCTGCAGATCTGCCTCCATGTCCTCTCCTTTGAGCTCCTCCACCTCTGCCCTCAGCTGCACATTTCCACCACTGCCCTGGTCTCCCAGCACGTCCAGGATCACATTCTGCTCCTCAAGCTCCACACCAGCTCCACCCTCCCCTCCTTGCTCAGCTCCTGCTCCTTGCAGATCAGGCACCAGCTCCTGTGGCAGCTCCTGCTCCCCCTGTCCTTGTGCCCCATCCTCAGCCTCCTCCAGGAGCTCAACAGCTTCATGGTTCTCCTCTCCCTGAGGGGTTTCTGGGCTGACACCCCCAAGCAGCTCCATGTCTTTCTGCTCATCCTCTAGCTCCAAATCCACTAACTCCTGGTCATGAACATGATCCAGGGGTTGCACATCTCCCTCCCCCCCTGCCCCTCCCCCCAGGATCCAGCCTCCCTGGGGGGCTGCAGACCTGCCTCCCCCTCTGCAGGCAGCTGCTGGTTGGCATCGCTGCTCTGGGGCTCCAGAGGCTGCACATCTGTCCGTGCTCCACCTTCCTGCACCTCGGCATGTGGCACAGTCACTGCCACCCCCCCACCCCTCCCCAAAACCATCTGTCCCCTCACAGACCCATCACCAGAGGCCTCTCCCCAGGGATTCACCTCCACACCTCCCTGCTCCTCCTCCAGCATCCCGGGGCCAGGAGCCCCCATCCCCTCAGAGGGGACCCTGATCCCCTGGGCTGCTCCCCTTTCTGCTTCACCCTGGAGCTCTGGCTCCAGGGGCTCCCAAGGCCTGATTTCAAGTTTCTGGGGAACCCCCAGTGCTGGGCCAGG